CGAATGCAATAATATTTACGAACTTATACTACCGGCTTGATTATACGTTTTGTTCTTTCGTCTCGGCGCAACTTTGCTGATTGCAACTCTAACGTACACGTGGACACGTACGATGCATGTTACAACCATTATAATTGTCGTGATCATGATTCTCTGATTACTTCTTTTTTATAGAAATTTTTTTGTTCGAGCTTTTATTCGGTATTTTATCTTGTTACTAAAATAAGAAGATTAGTAAAGATTTTGAATTAATTATATTTATTTGAGATTTTTTTTAATGTTGAATAAATTGATTCTTACAGAGTTTCTTATGTCCTTAAGTCATAATTTGTGAATCCCAAAGTACCCCAAAAATCTGCACATAAATTCCCACATCCGTAGATCCCCACACTCCTATATCGCTAAATTTGTAATATTTTGTAATGCAATAAAATTATCTTGAACACCGACTTTCAATTCAAAGTCATATAAATATAACTTGTCATACTCCGATTAGCTGTTTAATATGCAACGTTCGAATATTTTTTATCAGTAAATGGTAATTGTGATGTTTAACGCGCGAACAAGATTTCTTTAGAACCCCTCTGTCTGAACTCGTGCAGTCGTTAGAATTTAATGATAATCGATGAAGATTAGGGAATTACAGATATCGAAGCCTGTTTAGTAACCGGTCAGACAAACTCCTGATTGGCTGTCGAATTTATGACGGCAGGTAATCTCGTAGAAACGATTCGTTCAGTGACAGCCTGCCAACTGACTCGTTCTCTTTACGAGCTCGTAAAATTGGACGTTTGAGTTTCACGATGATCGGCGAAGAAGCAAAAGGGAACGGTTATCGTATCAGATCTATCGAAACGATCCACAAAAAGTAGTCTATTCCTGATCGAACGATCGTTGAATTTTCTTGGTTATCAAACTCTCTGTTCCAAGTAATTTTCTTCTTAATTCTTGTCTCCATTTCGAATGCTTTAATGGCACTCTTCGCAATAAACTTCTTTGTCGATCCTTTTGCGTTTTTACTCGTTTAACGATGTTTAATCTTTCGCGAATCGACGGCTATAAATTTCGAGGATCCTTGGAGATTGCGTTCCAAGGTTGTCGGTTCTTTTTGAAAATTCTGCAAGTCCGTTTTAAGTGTTCATCCGTTTCCTCTTTTTCTTATCAAGGACCGGATGCTGCGAAATCTCATCAGAAAAACCGAAGCTTCCGCGAACACCATGTCGAGTGCCTCTGTTTTTAATTAAGAAACGATGCGTGGAATTATTTAACAGACATTGTACCGTGACTTATGCACGATATTAAATTTCCCGAAATTTGAATTTCATCATCGTGATTTTATTGCACGCCCATTGTTGCGTACTTTCTGTGCGCTTCTCGAGAATTCGGGATTCTCTTTGCCGCATGTTTTCCTCCGTCTGCGTTTATTCATTACGGTGGTTTCAGACTATTATTCATTCAAATTAATCAGTGGACTGCTACGAGAGCTCGGTTGTGATATAACGTCACAAAGTCTCATTATAAAAGCCCTGCAGGACGTAATGGAAAGAATTGTAGTCGTATTAGATGAAACTTCTTTTGTGCAATATTTCATTTTAACTGATTAATACTGAATATTAAAAGAATTGAAATTTCTTGAATACGAACAGTGATTATTCCGAATTTTTTTATTACTTTTGATAATTTGAGTTGGGAATTTTGAGAGTGGATAGTTTGTCAGTTTGAAATTTTTATATTTAATAGCAATTTTTAAATATGTGTATTTTTTAATAACTGGGGTTCCAGATTTCTACATTACAGAATTTTTAAATTTCCAAATTTCCAAATTCCCAAATTTCCACATTCTCAAATTTCCAAATTCTCAAATTTCCAAATTTCCAAATTCCCAAATTCCCAAATTTCCAAATTCTCAAATTTCCAAATTTCCAAATTCCCAAATTCCCAAATTTCCAAATTCTCAAATTTCCAAATTTCCAAATTCCCAAATTCCCAAATTTCCAAATTCTCAAATTTCCAAATTTCCAAATTCCCAAATTCCCAAATTTCCAAATTCTCAAATTTCCAAATTTCCAAATTCCCAAATTCCCAAATTTCCAAATTCTCAAATTTCCAAATTTCCAAATTCCCAAATTCCCAAATTTCCAAATTCTCAAATTTCCAAATTTCCAAATTCCCAAATTCCCAAATTTCCAAATTCTCAAATTTCCAAATTTCCAAATTCCCAAATTCCCAAATTTCCAAATTCTCAAATTTCCAAATT